CCCGGGCGGGAAGAAGCGCTCCGATGACGCCCGCTGGGTGTGTTGAGTGGTTTTTCGAAAAAAAAACCCAAGTACCCGGGAGTGAACAAGCGTTCCTTTTCTGCGGGGATGACCTGGCGTGTGAGCAGTGCGCCGGCTGTGAGCCGCCTGCCGACACGAGCAAATAAAATCACGAGAGTATGTATATCTCGTGTACCTTTCGGAACCGCCAAGGTAAATCCAAAGGCAGCGTTGGCAAGTTTAAAATTCATACATGAGATTAACTCTCCTGGTGGTTTCCGAGTTGCACATGCTCTGACAGGGGTTCAGCGCCTCTGCTCGTGGAAGCCATCACAGCTCAAATCGTGTTTTCGTGTGACTGGGTATGGTTAGAGTTGGTGGTGTCTCCAAGTTGCACGCTGCTCCGAAAATTGCTGTTCGTAATGGTCATTACTGGCACAGTTCATATGGAAGATAGAGACATTGCATTTATACATCCATCAGGCTTTCTAAGAGCATGTCGAGCTATTGCAAAAGTAAGGAATAGATAGCAATTAAAATACACAGAACATGCAAAACTGTTTATCCCCTGATGAGGGGACAGGAGCATCTCTCCTACAAGGAGAGGCTGAGGGAGCTGGGCTTGTTCAGCCTGAAGAAGAGAAGGCTGCGAGGGAACCTAATATATGCTTATAAATATCTCAAGGGTGGGTGTCAGGAGGATGGGCCAAGCTCTTTTCAGCGGTGTCCAGCGACAGGACAAGGGGCAACAGGGACAAACTGAAGCATAGGAAGTTCAACTGAACATGAGGAAGAACTTCTTCCCTCTGAGGGTGACGGAGCACTGGAACAGGCTGCCCAGGGAGGTTGTGGAGTCTCCTTCTCTGGAGATATTCAAGACCCACCTGGACAACGTCCTGTGCAGCCTGCTGTAGGTGCAGATGAAGTAGGCTTTAAATTTAAAATATACCTATAGATACACGTCAGTGAAGTATGGAAGCATACCATATTTTCAGAATGGTGCAATAGAAACTTGAGAATCCTTGCAGGACTCGGCATTGTGCTTAGAAGTGTACTTACTATCTGCTGGCTCGCAGCTTGGATGCACCTAATCTATGAAAAGTTTAGGATTTTTTAATAACCATCTTCCTCGTTGTTCTTTGAATTCAAATGGGTGAAGCCCTCTGCATGAGCTGCTTGTGGTTTCTGTTAGCTGAACGGCAAAACTGGATGCATCGTCATACATGATACGTGGTTCTGCCTCTGTGTGTATTAGCTTAAAGGAGAGTAAAAGTAATGTGTAGATTCATCTGACTTTGCTGTTGTACGGTGAGACGCGTGCTGTCATTTTCTAAACAGTACTTACAGTTTGTTTTACTTATACTCTGTAAACATACTGCTTGTAGTGACAGGGTTGTGCTAATTGCAGTGCTGAAATATTAAGAATGCAAGTGTTGACAAAGTTTTACCTACCCCAAAAATCTGAAACTTCAATTTTATAGCTTTTTCTTTTTTTTAATGCTGTGTTTATGTTTAAGGGGCACATTATTTTCTAATAAGGTTGCTGTTGCTGTCTCAAAGAAAACTTCTAGCCCATGTGATACAGGGGGAGATAAGTGTAACCGCCTTTGTCCTTGGTCTGTACTTGAACTCATATGTCTTATGATGGCCTTTCATGTTATCTGTATCAGCTGTTCTCTCTAAACTGTTAGTCAGTGATTCTCCGTTCTAGTAGTGCTTAGATCTGGTTTAGGTTTTCCTTAGTTTCTCTTGAAAGGGTTTTTTTGTCAGAATAAAGAGAGTAAGAAGACAAAAGTGAAGGGCGGGGTTATACATATACACACACAAATAGATATATATAAAAATACAAATATTTATATGTACACCCCTTCAGTTTTATACACACGCATATATGATAGTTTGAAGGAGAAAGCAGGGTAAAGGTCAAAGTTGGAAATGCTATCCTGAAGATATTGGAAGCGTCTGTTCCATTTTCCTTTGCCCCATCTTAGTTATGTATGTTTTTTTCGTGTTTCCAAGTATAGGTAAGCATATCTCATATAAACCACTGCAAAGTAACAGAGTCTCCCAGATTAGATCTGTGGAAGTTTGCAGCAGAAGGCATTATGCATGGATGTTAGGAATAGGGAGCCCAGAATTTGCAAAGTCTTTTCAAGTGTGTTTGTCAGGCCAGCACTTTTAGTGCTAACCAGTGTGGTTAAAAAGAGGAAAAAAAAAAAAGAAAGGCAGGGCAGGGAGGTATATTTTGTTCAGAAGAGCCCTGGCTTTGCGGAGTTTTTTAATATAAGTTTTTTTAGGCTGTCAATTTTAGTGATAACCAGTGTATTTAAGAAAGAAAGAGAAAAGTTTGATTTAACTGCTACTCCTCTACAAAGTTTTTTTTCCATTCGTGCCTTTAAGAAGAACATAGTGAGTCACACCTTTGTAACCTCTTGTAAATGAAATATTTTTTCAGTACTGTTCTAGATGTCAATTATAGAATCATAAGATCATACTGGTTTGGAAATTGGGAGTTTTCTGTTCTGCTGTTGTATTGGACTAATCGTGATAGATTTCTATCAAGTTTTTTTCCAGTTATCCTTCTGACTAGTTCTACAAACTTATTTTAATTTTTTTTTCTTGAGCTCCCACTGTATTCAGTTATTCTCAGTGTCTGCAGGCTTTCGGTTAGTTCCTTCAATAGCCTTCATTAAAAAGTTCAGTTATCGCAGATTGTGCTTTATTTTGTTGTAGGTACAAGATGCTGGGCAAGAGATGGTGGCATCTTCTGTGACACCAGGATCAGGCAAATCAAAGGTAATCAGGCCTCACAAACCTAATTTATTTGGATAGCAGTAGTTGAAAGGGTTACAGCTTAGCATGCAAGCTGTGACTAATGTGAAGACATAAAGGTATTTTTGAAGTTTCCTGTCTTCTAGATTTCTTGAAAAATTGATTTATAAACAGTAGGGTAAGGTGTTTTGGAAAACATGGGGGGGAAAAATCTCTAATTGGTTTGTTCACTTCCTGTCGTAATACTTGGTAAAATATTAGTAGCATCTGGTTCTGACAGCAGTCTGTTTCATAATGTATACAGATTTCTTTGCATGTGTTGGAAGTAAACTTAAATGATGTCAATGTTAGGTCAGCATGCTGTTTTGAAAACATTGTTCAAATTATATTACTGAATTGTAACCCTTCCCGACTGAGTTTTCCTTTCTAACTGATGCTGCCCAGTTGTGTGCTCTAGAATGATTTTGGAAAAGTACAGAAATAGAAGTAGTTTCTTTTACTGCACTTGAAATAACAGAATTAGATAACAGAACAGCAGTAACTTGGACTGTTACTGTACCTGCAAATGTGTGGTAAGAGAGTTTCTTGTCCTAAAAATTAACTTCATGGACACCAGATGCTAAAATGTCCTTTTTTCTATTTAACTCTGGATTAGAGGAAGCTGGTTTCTACAATATGTATTTTTTTTTTACAGCTGGACACATTGCCCAAAGAAGATCTCATCAAGTTTGCAAAAAAACAAATGATGCTTATGCAGAAAGTGAAGTCAAGATGTACAGGTACCTTACTGGAAAGAGAACAGTTTCTGCCTTAATGCTTGGTACTATCTGACTTTTCCTAATGTCACTGCATATTTTTGCAAGGTAGATTTTAATTCTAGGCAAATATCCTAGACTCTTTTTCTGCGATTTCACTATTTTGGGGGGAGGATAAGGACTGAAGTCCTTGGAGCAAGAGAGGGAAGAAAAAGAAGCATTGCTTTTGTCACGTGCTAAATTAATTTTGATCTGACAGAGTGGCATGATGGAACAATGTAGTTTGTGCAAGAGCTGAAGTGGGACCTGTCATTGTCTGTTCCCCATATTGGTTGCAGGGATACTTGTTGCTTCTCAGGAAAGAGATGGGAGGGGGAATGCCTACTGGTAGATTTTGCATAACTAGTGCTGTTGTAGGGTACAGTGGCCTCTTTAAAATACTTAGCTACTTTATATTTGATCATTTGCTTCTTTAACAAGAAATAGTAGAACATACCAAACAAAATTCTGCATTAACCACCTAAAAGTGTCCTGTGTAAATCTGTGCTCTCGTGTGCTGTCCTTCTCCTCTCTGCTGTCCCTTCTCCTCCAGTGGCCCACTGCTTGGACTGGTGTCACTTCCCCTTGTTTGGGGTTACCGTTATGCTGACTGCTGGTAGTTGCCCAGCAACACAGTAAGGATAGGGATAGGCTATATTAGGCTTTTCCTCAGTGGTGTTACTCATAAGATCTAGTTCTTCTACCTGCTGCCTATTTTTAGAAAACCAGTAGGAACTGAATATCTTTTCTCTGGCTTAAACTGATCGTGAAATAGTAGGAAAGACAGTCATCAAAGGAATTCCTATCTGTTGACCCTCCACCCAAAACACGGAAGCTTTGCTTCCTCAGGAAACCATGCTAAATATCAGGACTGGAGAAGTAGTACTGAATGTTTGCTTTCTTTCCAGTCGCCCTTTATATCACTCAGTAACAAACAAAAAGTGATGAAGTAAAAGACGTCTCTGATTTGAATAGGAGTTTTGTTAGGCACTGGATATACTAGTAATTTGCTGCTGTGGTGGAGCATCAGTTCATGCTGTGAAATTTATATACTTCTTTTTTAAGAACTAGAGAAAGAGACTGAAGAACTCCGATCTAAAACAGCTACTGGAGGAGCTGATGATATTATTCAGGTAGGACTGCGTAATGTGTTTCTAATGTATTGCATAATGTTAGCTGAAATAAATCTACAGAAATAATTTGTGGTAAATAGTAAATAGCTTTAAATTGGTTATTCAAAATGAATATAATAAATTTTTAGGAATTCAGGACACTTCTCAAAATGTCTTTTTTCCTCCTCACCCCCACCCTTACTCCACTTTTCAGAAAATACTGTCAGTTCTGTGAGGAATAGTACAATTTCCTCAGCAAGACTTTTTGCTTGTGTAGTTGGTTAGACAGGCTGTTTTTAATTTTTCTTATTTTTAGAATGACCACTGCAGGAAGACTTCAGCCATTTATAAAACTTCTGAGATGGTCATTTGATGAGATTGGAAACAGATAATTAAAGTTGCATGTCACAAGAAATACTTTTAGAAAAGTAAATGGAATTTTTTTTAAGTGGCAATAACGTCTGTCTTTCTCAAAGTAAGGGTCGCAGACAGCATATGGAAGAGAAAGTTGGTAGTGAGGAGGAATTCATCAACTGGAAAATTGTTTTTAATAATTTGGATGGAGATTTCTACAGAAGGGAAGCTTTTCCCCTCCCCCCTCCCTGCCCCCCATTGATAAAAATTATCTGATCAGAAATACGATTTTGAACAGAACCTATTACTCAACATCATTATTTTAGTCTACCTATTCTGTATCTGTCATATTTGGGTTGAATGTAACTTTTAAAATCAGGCTTGATCTGTTTCATTGATAAAATGTCATGACCAACATGTGAGTTGTTACAGTCTGCAAAAACCGTTTGTGCTTCCATTGTTAAGAAAACCTGCTTTCAGTGATCTTTCTCCCTTAAAATTAGGCTCTCACAGAAAGACTGGATGTTGTACTACTGGAAAAAGCTGAAAGTCAGCAGCAGTGTGTAGCTCTGAAAAAAGAAAATACACAAAGAAAGCGAGAAGCAGAGGTACTGAAATGACCAATAGAACATTATTAAAATATTTAAGAACTATGTTTATCCTTATTTCCTAGTTTTGCTTGTTGTGTATTCCATCATATTTGAGAGGTCGTGGCGGTCTGGGGAGGTTCCCACCGACTGGAGAAGGGGTAACATCACCTCCATTTTTAAAAAGGGAAAAAAGGAAGGCCTGGGGAACTACAGGCCAGTCAGTTTCACCTCTGTGCCTGGCAAGATGATGGAGCAGATCCTCCTTGAAACCATGCTAAGGCACATGGATAACAAGGAGGTGATTGGGGACAGCCAACACGGCTTCACCAAGGGCAAATCGTGCCTGACCAACTTGGTAGCCTTCTGTGATGTGGTTACAGCATTGGTGGACAAAGGGCAGGCAACTGACATCGTCTACCTGGACTTGTGCAAGGCATTCGACACTGTCCCGCATGATGTCCTTGTCTCTAAATTGGAAGGTCATAGATTTGACAGATGGGCCACTCGTTGGATAAGGAACTGGCTCGATGGACGCACTCAAAGAGTTGCAGTCAATGGCTCGATGTCCAGGTGGAGACCAGTGATGAGTGGTGTGCCTCAGGGGTCGGTACTGGGGCTGGTGCTGCTCAATATCTTTGTCAGCGACATGGACAGTGGGACTGAGTGCACCCTCAGCAAGTTTGCCGATGACACCAAGCTGTGTGGTGTGATTGACACGTGGGAGGGAAGGGATGCCATTCAGAGGGACCTTGACAGGCTGGAGAGGTGGACCTGTGTGAACTGCGTGAAGTTCAACAAGGCTAAGTGCAAGGTCCTGCACGTGGGTCGGGGCAATCCCAAACATAAATACAGGCTGGGTGGAGAG